CTGTCTGGGTGGAGCTGGGCTGTGCTGAGCTGAGCTGGGCTGAGCTGGGCTGGGGTGAGCTGAGCTGGTCTGGGGTGAGCTGAGCTGGGCTGAGCTGAGCTGAGCTGGGCTGAGGTGAGCTGAGCTGGGCTGGTGTGAGCTGAGCTGGGCTGGGGTGAGCTGAGCTGGGCTGGGGTGAGCTGAGCTGAGCTGGGGTGAATTGAGCTGAGCTGAGCTGAGCTGAGCTGAGCTGGGGTGAGCTGGGCTGGGTTGAGCTGGATTGAGCTGGGATAAGCTAGACTGAAATGAGCTGAGCAGAGCTGGACGAATCTAGACTGGGCTGAACTGGGCTGTCTAGGCTATGCTGGAATGAGCTGAGCTGGGCTGGGCCAGGATAAACTAAACTGGTATGATCCAGGTTGGACTGGATGAGGTAGGCTGGAATGGTCAGGTGAGCTGAGCTGGGGTGAGCTGAGCTGAGCTGGGCTGAGCTGGGCTGGGGTGAGCTGAGCTGGGGTGAGCTGAGCTGAGCTGGGCTGAGCTGGGCTGGGGTGAGCTGAGCTGGGGTGAGCTGAGCTGGGTTGGTGTGAGCTGAGCTGGGCTGAGCTGGGCTGGGGTGAGCTGAGCTGGGCTGAGCTGAGCTGAGCTGAGCTGTGGTGAGCTGAGGTGGGCTGGGGTGAGCTAGGCTGAGCTAGGCTGGGGTGAGCTGAGCTGAGCTGGGCTGGGCTGAGCTGAGCTGAGCTGGGGTGAGCTGAGCTGGGCTGAGCTGAGCTTGTCTGGGTGAGTTGGGCTGTGTTGAGCTGGGTTCAGCAAAACTGGGCTACCTTCACTAGGCTGAGTTAGGCTGAGCTGGGGTAAGCTGACTGACTGGGCAGAACTGGGTTGAACTGGATTACCTGGTAGGCTGAGCTGGGCTGGCAAAATTAGTTTGAAATAATCTGGACCAAGATGGGCTGTGATAAGCTAAAATGACAAGGCTAACTGAGCAAGGCTGAACTAGGCTGAGCTGGACTAGAATGAGCTACCATAAACTGGGCTTAGGTGGGCTGAGATAAGATGAATTGAGTTGGGCTCAATGCTGTTAGTATGAACTGGGCTAAATTGACTGAGCTAAAAGTTGGGCCACCTCAGCTGAGCTGGGCTGAGCTGGGCACAGCTGGGCTGGACTGAGCTAGCCTGGGCTGAACTTGGCTGAAGAGGACTGAGCTTGGCTAAGCTGATTGAGCTGAGCTGAGCTAAACTGGCCTGAGCTGAACTGGGCTGGGCTGACTAGGGCTAAACTGAGCTAAACTAAGATCAGCCAGGCTAGGATGAACTAAGATAAGCTCAGCCAGCTGAGCTAACCTGGGATGGTGAGCTGAGTTGAGTCCAGATGGAGTATGCTGGCTAATCTTAACTGGGCTGAGCTAAGCTGGGCTGCGATGAGCTAGGCTAACCCAGGTCTGCATTGGCTTAACTAAGGAAGGCCGGGCTGGGCTGTAGCGGTATGAACTCGCCTGAACTGAGCTGGGCTAAGATAAACTAAGCTGGACTTAGCTAGGCTCAGACTAGTTTAGCTAAGCTAGAATGAAGTGAGCTGGGATGTTAGGCTGAGATGGGCTGGTGTAAGGAGCAGAGCCTGGACCAGCTTGGCTAGGACTTTGTTCTGGGACAGAATGTGTGCCAAGGTGGAATCCCAAGATGATTCCATGAGTTCTGCCATCATAACCCACCTTCCTCCTACCTGACACACCTTGTCTGCTTGGCTAGAGAGACTTCAAAAGAGTAGTGGCAAGCTTGACTTCTACATGAACCAAGCAACCTGCAGGCCCGGTGTGGTGTGTCATTCAAGCCTCCTGTGCTGATGTGAAGCCTGAGCCCCTCCTCCACCACCACCACCTCCCGATGGGTCCCTGTTGTTTTGGAATGGGAATGTTTCTCTCAGCTGATGTCTCAGAGGGAAGCCAAGCAGGGCAGGGCCAAGCCCACATGAGAAGCGGTGATGTAGGACTGTCCCTGAGAACAGGTGTCATTGTACCTGGAGCTGGCTGATAATGGCTGAAGGGCTAGATCCACTTACTCTAGTAAGCATCTCTCCCTGTCCATGAAGGCTTACAATGTTCTAGCTATGTTCTATGGCTAGAAAAGTGGCTCCATAGCCTGCAGCAACTTCATCCTGTAGGCCAGGTTCACCTACCAACGTATCTAGCCCTGTCTGCCTTAAGAGCAACAGCCATTGAGGCAGGGGAATGTAGAGATCCCCTGACTGGCAGGGGACAAGAAGACAGATTCTTACTCCTCCTCTGTTTCTCTTTTATCCCTCTCTTGTCCTCAGAGAGTCAGTCCTCCCCAACTGTCTTCCCCCTGGTCTCCTGCGAGAGCCCCCTGTCTGATGAGAATTTGGTGGCCATGGGCTGCCTGGCTCGGGACTTCCTGCCCAGCTCCATTTCCTTCTCCTGGAACTACCAGAACAACTCTGCAATCAGTCAGGGTGTCAGAACCTTCCCAACACTGAGGATGGGAGAGAAGTATATAGCCACCTCGCAGGTGTTCCTGCCTCCCAAGAATGTCCTTGAGGGTTCAGACGAATACCTGGTGTGCAGAGTGCACCATGGTAACAACAACAGAAATCTGCAGGTGCCCATTCCAGGTAAGAGCCAAGCAGTGGGGTCAGAGGCCCGGGCATGCCCCAGAGGGAGCAGTGGGCTGGAGTCTCAGCCAAGCTGAGCTCACACCTTGTCCCTTCACTCTAGCTGTCACAGAGATGCCCCCCACCGTGAGTGTGTTCATCCCCTCACGCGACGCCTTCTCTGGCCCTGCACCACGCAAGTCCAGACTCTTCTGCGAGGCGTCCAACTTTAGTCCCAAACAAATCACAGTGTCCTGGCTGCGTGACGGGAAGCCTTTGAAGACTGGCTTCACCACAGGGCCAGTGACTCCTGAAGACAAAGGATCTGGATCCCGAACCTACAAGGTCATAAGCACACTCACTATCTCTGAAAGCGATTGGTTGAACCTGAGCGTGTACACCTGCCGCGTGGATCACAGAGGTCTTTCCTTCTGGAAGAATGTGTCCTCCACATGCGCTGCCAGTGAGTTCCCTGTCCTAAGCCCAGTGACTAGCCCTCCCAGATCAGGGCAACCCTCTTGCAAGCATGGCTAATGCCACCCGGACATGGCCATTTGCTCCTTGAGCCTTAACTTCAAGGGCCAAGACCAGTGTCTTCCCTCAAGCAGAACCTCGGAAGTTCAGTAAATCAGTTGGTACTATTTGGGGATGGAGACTTAAACTTTTCTCTGACTTCACAACTAGACAGTCATTGACACGATGTTTTCTTGACCGCAGGTCCATCTACCGACATCCAAGCCTTCCCCATTCCCCCCTCCTTTGTTGACATCTTCCTGAACAAGTCTGCCAAGCTGACCTGCCTGGTCACAAACCTGGCAACCTATGACACCCTGAATATCTCCTGGGCTTCCCAAAGTGGTGAGCCACTGGAAACCAACACTAAACTCAGCGAGAGCCACTCCAATGGCACCTTCAGTGCCATAGGACAGGCTAATGTGTGTGTGGCAGACTGGGAGAGCGGGAAGGAGTTTGTGTGCACCGTGGCCCACAGGGACCTGCCTTCGCCACAGAAGAAAATCATCTCAAAGCCCAGAGGTATGAATTCCCCATTCCCTTCCCCTCAGTCCCAGGGTTCTTCCTCTATCTCAGGGGGATGGCAGGTTCCCTTCTACCCCTGTCCTCACCACTGTCTCTGCTTACAGAGGTGGTCAAGCAACCCCCTGCTGTGTACCTGCTGCCGCCAGCCCGTGAACAACTGATCCTGAGAGAGGCAGCCACGGTCACCTGCCTGGTGAAGGGCTTCTCTCCTGCAGACATCTTTGTGCAGTGGCTTCAGAGGGGGCAACCTTTGTCCCCAGACAAGTATGTGACCAGTGCTCCAATGCCAGAGCCCCAGGTCCCAGGTCTCTACTTTGCCCACAGTGTCCTGACTGTGACAGAGGAGGAATGGAACTCCGGGGAGACCTACACCTGTGTTGTAGGCCACGAAGCCCTGCCACACATGGTGACCGAGAGGACCGTGGACAAGTCCACTGGTAAACCCACACTGTACAATGTATCACTGATCATGTCTGACGCAGGTGGCACCTGTTACTGACCATGCTTGCCCCCAACCAGGCAGGTTCTGGGGCCCAGTTGCTCTGTGTATGCAAACTAACCATGTCAGAGTGAGATGCTGCATTTGATAAAAATTAGAAATAATAAAAAAAAATCCATTCAAAAGTCGCTGGTTTTGATTTTGCAATGCTTTTGCCTGCTGAGGCAACAGCTGCGTTGTGTTTGCCCTGCACATACCCTGCGGATTTGCCTCCACCTTGACCCCTTACTCTACCTGCACGGTCGCCTCCTTCTGTGTGAACTCACAAAGGCTTACAACAGAGTGTAAGGGTTGCCATCCCTCCAGCTGTTTCTAGATATATGGCTGGGAGCTTGGCTACCCTGGTGCAGGCAGAATTCAAGCACATGCACAGACACAGACAGAAAGACATGTATTTATACAGATATAGGTACAGGTGTGCAGACACATGTGAGCTCATGCACACGTGAACACACACAAACACCTTCAGAGACATACAAACAGTCATAGACACACAGCCACACACAGAAACAGATACCGACACACATGGGCATGTGTACACAGAAACAGAACATAGACAACTGAACCACATAGGCACAAAAACATGCATGCACACACATGTACAGAAACACCTCAACATGTGCACAATAACAAGTGGACAGGCGTGACACACAAATATACCTGGACTCTGACCAGGGCCATAATCTCCAGGACTTGGGGCCCACAGAGCCCATACTAGGCTGGGTCGATGAAGTTTCTCAGGGAGCCCAGTCTATGCTTAGAGGAGATAGCTCCAAGAAGAGAGCATAACTTCCTGTCCTGGCACCATGGGACAGAAAATAGCCCACTAACAACCACCTTTGACAGATATAAGACAGTCTGCCCAGACAGAGCAGGTGATCCAGGGCCACAAAAGCTGCCCTTGGCTGTGCCTCCATTAGTGGAACACCTCAAAAGATCAATATGAGAGTTTCTGCCCCAGTCACACCCACCCTGTCCCCAGTCCAGAAGGCAGAAGATATAAATGCAATTGTCCAGACAAAGCTGAGTCCCCCATCATAGGTCATAGGACCCCTGTGAGGACTCACCACCCAACAACACTGCCTCCTTGGGTCTACATCCCAGAAATTCTTCGTATTCTTACTCATTTGGGCCCTGGGCTTTAGATAACCCCAAGAGCTCATCTTTACAGGAGTCAGAGACCCCAATAAATGCCCTCCCTAGTCCCACTGTATCCCTCAGTGTACAAAGACCCAACATTGCTGGTAGGCATAGGACAAGCCACCCACAGGAACTCTGCTCAAATAGGGGCACGGGGTGCTGAATCTTTCAGGAAGTAAATGGGGACAGCCTCAGGTGCTGCCTTCTCCTCTTCGCAAAGCCCAGGAGACAGGGAACCCTACTCTAAATTCTCAGTCTAAACAGCCCTGATGGAAAGTCCAGAACACACCAATACCATGATGCCAGGGATCCTGTTTCTGCCTGCATCCCATGTCTATGTGCTGCGCCTCTCTTGCTTGCTGTGCTGCCCCAGTGCTCCTAGGACAGAGCCCCAAGTTGGTGCCTCCTTCCGTTTCACCTGTACTGTGCCTCTGCCTAGCTTGAGCTGCTAGGGGGACCAGTCAATACTGGCTAAGACTCCCCAACCCTCAGGTAGATGTTCAACCATCCCAAGTCTTGGCTTGACCTCCCTCTGCGTGTCCCTTCACAGAGGGAGAGGTGAACGCTGAGGAGGAAGGGTTTGAGAACCTGTGGACCACCGCCTCCACCTTCATCGTCCTGTTCCTCCTGAGTCTCTTCTACAGTACCACTGTCACGCTGTTCAAGGTACTGTACTTGTGGGGCTGAGTACAGGGCAGGGAGCTGCCAGTCCTCATTGCCCAACCCTCTACTCCCCCAAAGTGGACAGCGATTGACACTGTCTCTGTCACCTGCAGGTGAAGTGACTCAGCATGGAAGAACATCAGAGACTGAGAAGCCCTCCCACAGGGACGTTGCCTCGGGGCCTGGGGTGGGCCTGCCTGTATGACTAGTAAATGTATTCCTATCTTTCCTGTATCACCCTCCAGCTTTGAGCTCTGAGTTGGACATCTTTCCAGATCAGTCAAAGACTTTGTCAACCTGTGCAACCTGAAGCAGGGTCTGGACCACATATGACTGTACTGAATACAAATGTTGCTTGGAAATAAATACTTTATCTTGTGAACCCACTTTAGTGTGAAGAAATCTGTTTTGTCTTCAAACCTTTCCTGTAGTGTTAGCATCCCAAGGATTATTTGAAGACAGTTTGAGAACCGGCAATGAGCGATCTGATGGGGCTTCAGGGAAAAGGAGGGAGGGAGAGGAAGGGGGGAGAGAGAGCTCTGACAGCAATTTAGTAGCAATCTGACTTATCTACCCTGCTGGGAGAAAGGAAGCATGGCAGAGAAAAATCCAGGCCTGATCTCCCAAAAGCATTCAGAATCTGGAAACTAGCCTCCAGCCTTGGATCTCTGCTCTGTAGCCCAGCCCACTGTCTCGGGCTGGTGCTGCTCCCAGCTAGCACAATACTTTGGGTCTTATCCCAAAAGTCTGGGGTATGCTGGGTGTACCTTGGGGAGTGGGGGTGGTTGGCTGAGATATAGAGGATGTCTGTGCCACTCCGCAATGTGCCAGGCCCTGTGTATTCGTCAATAACTCAGAAACTCAAACTCTCTGTGTGTGCCAACTGCTGAAAAGATACGAAGATGCAGGGTAAAGGCTCTGCAGTCACTCAAGAAAGACAGATAAAGGCCTGGCCACAGAGCAAGTGTAGAAAAGGACGGAGGGTCCTGGGCTTCAGCTCAGAGAGGGAAGCCCTACACATACAAAGTGAGGGCAGTGCAGGGGGCTTCCTTGCTCGTGATGTGGGCAGCTGGTGAAGCCCACAGACATAGGAAGTCCAGGCTTACTAAATACAATGAGAGGACCACCTGGGAGGACCAGGGAGCAGGGTGTGTGAGAGAGAAGCAGGTCGTGGGAGGGAACTGTGTAGGTGCCAAGCTCCTAAAGAAATGTTAAATAAGTACCTGAGATGGTACATTAGTGATGGCCCCTGGTCTGGGATTCAGGTGAGTTAGCTGCAGGGTGCAGAGAGTGGCAAGCTCCTATTGGCTACTGGGAGGCCACAGATGTCAGGGCTCAGCACCAAATTCCAGATTTATTTTAGGCACTGACACCTTGGCACCCTGTTTCCTTGGGCTGTTGGGGAAACACACCACACCTGCCAGCTTGAGCAACGGAGCTCTGTTTTTTCCTAGTTCTAGAGGCCAGGAGTCTGTGCTACAGCAAGCTACAGTGTCCTCTGTGTCACCGTGAAAGCCTGTCTCAGACTTCCTCTAGCTCTGAAGCCATGGCATTTGGCCAACCCTTGTCTCCTGGCACCAATACTCCAGGCACCGTTACACCTTCAAAGCTTTTTCCCCATGTGTATGTCTGTGTACCTACTGCCCTGTTCCCAGAACACTGTCCTACTGGGTCTCAGTGCAGCATGAGCTCCTCTCAACTAGATTCTGCCCGCGATGACCTCAGAGCTGCCATGTGTAGCCGGTTCCCCCAGCAGCCCAAGGAAACAAACACAGACGCTGACAGGTTGCCGAGGCGACAATTCCTAATATAAATCTGGAATTTGGTGTTGAGCCCTGACATCCTCATAATGGATGTTGGTACTCAGGCCTCAGAACTTCAGTAAGCAAATCAGTAAGGGGCACGATTCACCCCATGTCTGCACCCATATCCTCCATGTGTCTCTGAATCCTGGAGAATGGAACACTGAAAAATAGATGACATACCAGAACCTAGGAAGGAAGAGTAGCCCAGAGAGACCCAAAGCAAGGTTTGGGAAAGAGACAGGATGTTGTCTCTGCTCAGGTGCTCCTGGCTGCTCCAGAGATTCTGAGGATGCAGAAAGCTGACTGTCCCTGTCAAGGTCATGAGAGAATTACATCCAGGAGGGTAGGGCCACTAGTGTTTGAAAGAGCAGGGAGTAGGTCTCTTCCCAAGAAATCAAGGGAGGGTTCAGAAGAGAAGTGGTGGTGGCAGAGAGATGGACGCTTCTGAGACTGGCCAGGGAGGCTTCAAAAGCCCCCCTCCCCAGGGTTCCTGAGACTAGGAGTCATTGTTATGAATCTGGCATGGAGTGGTGCTGCCCAGGCATCACCTTGGCCTCCCCAGTCCCATGTCCTCAGGACTCCACTATCTATCTTGCCACAGCTCCTGACAAGGAATCTCAAATGCTGCTCCTCATCTCAGAGTGCAAAGCCCATAACAGCAACAAGTCGGTGGGCCTGATCTGCTTGGTATCGGGAATAAAGTCATTGGAAATCACCATGGACTCAAAAGCAACGCACAAGACTGAGAGGACTTTCAACTTCAGACTTAACAGTGGCAAATATATGGTGATCCATCAGATCTCTACATGGACCTCAGAACTGGATGGCACCCTCACTTGAACCATGAGAAACAAGCTCCAACAAGACCATTACACAGATTTTACGATTGCCTGGTGAGTATCCCTGAACCATGCAGAAAGGTCTTAACGGGGCTTCCCGCACCCACACACAGCTAACTCCAAAGACTGACTGCAGCAAGATCCCTACCTTTGCTCACAGAGTCCCTGCCTTCCCTTACTCTTCCCCCGTCCGTTCTCTCCCTTTCTTCCTCTCAGCTGCCTTATCAATCAACATTTATATCATGCCCTGGGGACCCTGTACTAAAGGACAAGGAGACAGCTGGGTGAGCAAACCAATAGCTGAGCACAGAGACGTCCACACCAGTGCCTTCCATCCTCCCCCCCCCCCAATCCCCCGCTTTCCACTCCCCTGGGCACTTCAGCGTAGTCTGCCCTCTCGCCTACACCTTTTGTTCAAAACTTCTTTGATTACACAGAAATGGGATGCTCAGTCCTCCCAGAAAACCACTCCCCTTCCCCAAGCAGAGGAGCACTTCACAGAAGCCATCAGAGCTACTAACCTCCAAAGGGACAAAGTAGGTAAGAAGTCACA